GGAGCAGTGGCTCACACCTATAATCCCAGCACTTTAGGAGGCCGAGGCAGGAGTATTATCTGAGGTCAGGAGTTCAAGACCAGCCTGGCCAACATGGGGAAACCCCGTTTCTATTAAAAATACAAAAATAAGCCATGTGTGGTGGCACTAGCCTGTAGTCCCAGCTACTTGGGGAGGCTGAGGCAGGAGAATCACTTGAACCCGGGAGGCAGAGGTTGCAGTGAGCGAGATCATGCCACTGCACTCCAGCCTGGGTAACAGAGTGAGACTCTATCTCAAATAAAATAAAAAAAAAAGAATACATCACAATTTTTTAAATATTAATTACATATTACATGTATTTTGGATATTGGATATATGATATTAAATAAAACATATTGGTAATTTTAGCTGTTTCTTTTTACTTTTTTCTAACGTAGCTACTAGACAATTTATAATTACATATGTGGCTTGTATTATATTTGAGCCCCACTGGTATCAACAATGCAAATACGCGATAAAAAAGGAAACACCTTTAAGAATTCTGACTCAAATTCACAAATTTTTAAGGCATTAAAGAAATTTTTATAAATGTGAAACAGGCAAGGGTAAGAAAGGCAAAACTGCTAACGTAGAACATTTACCCATCAATGATAGACTGAATAAAGAAAATACGGTACATTTACATCATGGAGTACTATGTGGCCATATAAAAAGAAACAAGATCATGTCCTTTGCATGGACATGATAGGGCTGGAGGCCATTATCCTTAGTGAACTAACGCAGGAACAGAAAACCAAGTGCCATGTGTGCTCACTTACAAGTGGGAGCTAAATAATGAGAACACGTGGACACATAGAGGGGAACAACACGCACTGGGGCCTATTGGAGGGTGGAGGGTGGGAGCAAGGAGAGAATCAGGAAAAGTAACTGATAGGTATTAGGCTTAATACCTGGGTGACGAAATAATCAGCACAACAAACCCCCATAACCCAAGTTTACCTATGTAACAAACCTGCACATATACCCCTGAACTTTAAAGTTATTAAAAAAAAAAAAAAAAAAAAAAGCAGAGAACAGAACTATTTGAGAAATAACATTGGAAAAACTAAATCTAAACATGCAATAATTGCTACAGTTTATTGATTACCTATTAGACACCTATATACTCTAATAACAACACTAAAAAAATTGTGATTCTTATGTTTATTTTGCACATGATAATTCTAAGGCTTAGAAAGGTCAAGAAGCTTTCCCAAGGCTGCAGAGCTACCTGAAGGAGATTAAAACTCAACTTTTTAAAAAAAAATTGTATTTTGGATTCAGGGGTACGTGTGCATGTTTATTACAAGGGTGCGTAACGCTGAGATTTGGGGTTCCATTGATCAAGTCACCCAGATAGTAAACATAGCACCTGATAGAAAGTTTTTCAGCCCTTATCCTCCTCCTTCCTTTTGGAGTCCCCAGTGTCTACTGTTTCTGTATTCATATCTGTGTGTACCCAAGGTTTAGCTCTCACCTGTAGGTCAGAATATAAGATATTTGGTAAAACTCCATCTCTAAATGTATGTTCTTTTCTAGACACTGCTGTGTCAGAGAAGAAACTGAGGGATTTTACAATAATTGAATCCAAGTTTAAACCTAACATATCACTAGAGAGGCCCCCTCACATTTCCACAATATCCTTTTCCTATTATTATGATGGGTCTAATGGACATTGACTAATAAGCCAGAATTCCCTCCAGTTTGGGTTACACATTATTTTTCTAGCTCAGAGACTGGCAAATTATGGCTGCAGGCCAAATCCAATCCTCTACTTCTTTTTATATGGTCTATGAGCTAAGAATAATTTTTTCATTTTTAAGTGGTTGAAAAAAATTTCACAAAAGTTTGATGACACACGAAAATTACATGAAATTCAAATTTTAGTCCTATAAAAATAAAGTTTTATTGGAATACAGCCTCACATTATGTACTATCTATGCGATCATGCTACAGGGACAGAGCTGAGTAGTTGTTTCAGAGACCTTACTGATAACAAAACCTAAAACATTAACTCTTGGCCTTTTATGGAAAAAAGCTTGTTCACTCTCACTTCACAAGAATAGCCTTAAGGGAAACTCTTCTCCACTAAGAAACTGTTCACTCTCTTTGCCTTTAGTAGTTTCATTATTCATTCTTCCATCAAAAATGTACTTTTTTTTACTATCAAGCTTTCTGTTAGGCACTGTGATAGACAGACAAATAAAATTATAGAATTCCCAGGAACACAACGGACAGGGAAAAGGCAAAGGATATGTCAGTAAGACAGAATATGTGAAGGCATGAAGTGATAACATAATGGTAATAATCTGAGCACCCTTTAGTGGACAACTCATATAATTACCTCTAGTGTATGTGGAGCATGAGGCAAACACTGTGCTAGCCTTTCCATGAGTGCCTCATTAAAGGCTCAGAACCACACTTTCAGGTAGATTAATCACAATATCATTTTACAGATGTAGAAACAGGTTGCTATAATCATGAAACTTATCCAAGGCACACAGCTAAAGAGTGCTGTCATCAGAATTCAAAGTCAGGTGCACCTAGCTAGACTGGGAAGGTGCTTTCACAGGTATTAACATATCAAAAATACCTAACAAAATGTTTGTTATTAAAATCCATTTTTGGTGATGTGTAATGTATAAAGACATTCCAGATTAATCTGTTTTTGGATTAATTTGTATTGACAGGGGCATTAGACACTGAGATAGTCTTTCCTTCCCAGGAAAACTCTGGGTTACATCAGAAAAGCTCTCCTCCTTTGCCCCACAATTTTCTGCCCATGGCCCAGTGCTTGCAGGGTGGAAGAAGAGGAGGCAGAATCACCAGCAATAGATGTTGTTCTATAGTTTGAATGCATGCCCTAAGCTTTCCACCTACATCTTTATAATGATTCATCTTTTTCTCATTATTTTTACATTTTATTTTTAGCATGTTCTAAATGGCTAAATGTGTTTCTGGGATTCCTATTCTGTGACATTCAAGTTAGATAATTTTTGATCTGGTTTTACAAGCCAGAAAATAAGATTCACAGAATTATAATGACCTGCCCAAAGACATAAAAACTAGTAAGTGACAGAAAAGGGGATTAAAGACTAGGTCTGGTTTAGCAGAAATAAATAAACACAAAGCAAAACCAAAAAGCACAATACACTTTGTGCTCCCGTGTACTGTAATTTGTTGTAGCTTATGAATAAAAGGCTCTGTATGCATAAAAAAGGGTAGATCCTTTAACAGTAATTATATTTTGTGTGCAAAACTGACACTGTGCCATAGGTAGAAATCATTTCAACTAATTTTTGTAACACAAAAACACTTTTTTGTGAGAACATCAAATCTGTATTTGTTTTTTTATCATGCATAAATTTGTCAGTATATCTCTGGTCTAAAACTTTCCCCTGAAATCCAGATACATATTCAACTGCTTACTTGAGAACTGAAGAACAACAAAAAGAAAGAGAAACCTCAAACCAACTAGCCATCAGATGGTCATTATGGTGTCAGCTTCTGCTTTTCCTGTAAAATAAGACTAATGACACCTATCCTGAAGGATTGTTGCAGGCCTTACAAAGGACAATGTACACACAAGATGTATGGCAGAACACTGTATCAGGTCTATCAGTCTAATACCTTCCTGGTATTAAGGTTATAGAACTTTAAATATCCATGCATCATTTCTAAAATTTACAAAATAAAAACTTTAGAAAAAAAAATTTAGTCTTTCCGAGCATGGTGATTCATGTCTGTAATGCCAGCACTTTGGGAGGCTGGGGCAGGTGGATCATCTGAGGCCAGGAGCTTGAGACCAGCCTGGCTAACAAGGTGAAACCCCATCTCTACTAAAAATACAAAAAAATTAGCCAAGCCTAGTGGTGTGAGGTTGTAGTACCAGCTACTCAGGAGGCTGAGGCAAGAGAATCATTTGAACCCGAGAGGCGGAGGTTGAATCCAGTCTGGGTGGCAGAGTGAGATTCCGTCTCAAAAAAAAAAAAAAAGAAAAGAAAAGAAAAGAAAAAAGAAAACAATAGTCTTAAACACAACAACCCTTAATCTGCTTAATCTGTTTGGGGAAAACATTTCCTAATGCAGCAAATAATACACAAATGTTCATCTTAAAATTAGCATAGAGAAAACAAGAGTAAAAACTACAAATAGTTCCTTACAACTCAAATATATGAGCATGGAATGAGCACCTGGAAGCAAAAGCGCCCAGGATTAATCACATTACTGAACCTAACCATGAATACACACACAGAACAAACCTGATAGTTTTCACGATACACATACTGACCTCAGACAGTACTTTGTTGATCACACTGTCATACTAATAGGTTCTTTTTGGGTACTTTGTGACTTTTAAATAATTACTGAAAAACATACTGCTAAAATTTGTCTTCTAGTACAACGCCTTAATATTCAATTCCATAGAGAAATATTGTAAAGGACTTTTATAGCTAAGAAGTATAGTAAGCAATTTGTTAAACATTGTATGGACTTGGTCATACAGCTGATTTAGAACAAGAGAGTCAAGAAAGGCATTTATAATGCCTTGTTGGTTTAGAAATAGGTATTTTTAAAAGCAAGTTATAATCAAGTTGTGAAATATAGATATTTATATTACTTAAGTCAGTAAAATCTATTCATATCTTCTGACAGTACTTTTCATTTACATTTTTGTTCAAATTAATAAACTTTTCCATTTTTACCAATAAGAAATAAGCCTATGTCTGGTATTAAACTACTCATAGTCATAAAAAAAAAAACAGACTTAGGGGAAAATATTGTTTAAATTTTAAGTATCATTTAAATAGTAACATTTACTTTAACCATCATTGTATGTGATTGAGCATATTGAGTATAAACCTGAATGTACGCTATTAACGGACCCAGGATGAAAGTTTTGAAAGGAACATATGCTAAGGATGAAGGAAGAACAAAAAATACTTTGAAATGTGAAGCTCTATGATAAATATTATGATTTAAAAGACTTTCTAAAAGCTCTCACAACCAAATTCCTGTCTGTTCCCAAGATAATAAAATAAGTAGAAAGCCACCAGTTAAAGGCCAAAATAACAAAATAAAGCTACACACTTTGGGGTATACTGTGTGTAACTGTATGTAACAAAATCAAGGTCATGAATTGAATGGCTTCCAGTAATTCATTCTTCCAAACTGTTCAGGTACTGGTTGGACTCTCAACCTCGGGGTACTTCTCTCATATTTCTTACTCCCTGGACCTCATGCTAGACAGAAAGCTCCCTTGCTACTAGGGAAAACCATCTGTTGTTTTTGTGTGAATGTAACAGGTTTGAAAGTTTAATGCACTTCCCAAAGCACTAAATTCTCTTCAAGATAAACCCTGGGATGCATATTAATAGGTACTATTTCCTTTACCACCTTTTGATCTTTCATTCCAATCAAATTACAGCATACTGTTACCTCTATTGAATCATAAAACCCTCCCCTATTCTTGGTAGTTGCTAGGATGAGAAAGGGTAGGTTGGAGTTTACTGAAAGGTCTTTAGAATTAAAACTGTGGGTAAGAAAACAAACATGTATTGTAAGTTATATTGTGCTATCAACTTGGTATCAATTTAGAAAAGCTCTTAAAAGTCACATGTATGAAACAAAGCAGAATGGCCACATTTATTTAAACAGAACAGACACACCACATAACCAGGCAATGAAACTGAAAAGTTCGCACCTCCAAAAAAAGTTTTTCTAAGCCATTTGAAAACCTCAATTTTTAAATACAAAAACAGTTATCTCCTAACCACGAGCCGGAAATCCCAACAGAATAATTGATGGATGGAGGAGGCTGGGGTTGAGGGGAAGAGGAGAGAGAAACTTTTCATACACTCAGGAATGGCATTTCTCAGATATATATACTCCCCCTTTACCGTCCATGTCCAGGCAGCTAGCAATCAACCATTATTCTTTCAGCAGTTCTCTCTGGGATTCAATTCCACTTTATTCCTATTGTTATCACCCTATACACTTCCTTTTCTCTCTAATCCTTGGATTTCAGAATTCTCTAACTCCGTGTCCTACCTTTCTAATGGCTCTAACATACAGCTGCAGATTCTTGTTATGAAAACACAGCCTTCATCATTTTACAAAAGCCCTGTCCAGAGCCCTACTTTTCTAATGATTAAAGCCTTACCTTCCTAAAATCAAAAGCCTACACTCCTCTGAATTTCAAAATGTGAAATAAATGGACAACTCCTATCCATCTCTGTAAATTATTAAACTAAAATATAATATTTAAGTTCAATTGATAATAATACACTATTTGGAAAACAAATCATTTTCTCTGTGGTATGACTCCAGTTAATCACTTGAGTGATCTTGAGAGAAATCCTGTTTTCTTTGATTCTGTACAAATTTGATTCCTACTTCTGGACCTAACTAATCCATGAAGGTTCTTCCAACGACTTCAGTCTATATTTTTTCACTCATGCCATGAAACTCCAAGATCTATCACCCTTGAATGCATGAAACGTCATATTTGCTTCATAATTTAACTTTTTTATTTATCAATGTTTATTTTAAGTTCTGGGGTACAGGTGCAGGATGAGCAGGTTTGTTACATAGGTAAGTGTGTGCCATGGTGGTTTGCTGCACAGATCAACCCATCCCCTAGGTGTTAAGTTCAGCACCCATTAGCTGTTCTTCCTGATGCATTCCCTCCCCCTGCCCCACCCTCCCCATGGACAGGCCCCGGTGTTTGTTGTTCCCCCACCCCATGTGTCCATGTGTTCTCATCACTCAGCTCCCACTTATAAGTGAGAACATGCGGTGTCTGGTTCTCTGTTCCTGTGTTAGTTTGCTGAGGATAACAACTTCCAGCTCCATCCATGTCCCTGCAAAGGATATGATCTCATTCCTTTTTATAGCTGCATAGTATTCCATGGTGTATATGTACTACATTTTCTTTATCCAGTCTATCACTGATGAGTATTTGGGTTGATTCCATGTCTTTGCTATTTCCAACACCGTATTTTAAAAGAAAATATTTCTACTTCTTGAAGGGCATGGGCCTTATCTACAGTGCTGGGTTGACCTGGTTACGAGGAATCCACAGAAAATATAATCTAATAGTTACTACCATTACAATATGTTATGCCTGTCATACTTCAGCAAGCAAACTATGAAGGGAGAGAAAATTCACTTTTATTTGAGCTACTCTTTACTCCTCTGAGGCTTCCCTGGTTTGTGACAAACAAACATTGTAACAGCTTCACCTCGCTTAAGTACATATTCATTTTGTATTTCCTGTTTAAAATAATGTATACTTTGGTTTATCCTCTTCAATCTAGGTAAGAGCTGACACAATACAGTGACTAAAAGCACATTCTGGGGCTAGACTGCCTGGGCTTGAATGACAACCACATTCTCTGCTAGATTGCAGGCAGTAATCTCTAAATCTCAATTCTCTTATCTGCAAAATGAGAATACATACAGTACTTACCCAGTGGATGTGGTATATAAATTGCTCAGAAGAGCGCTTGGCACAGAACAAGAAGAATGTAAGTCCTTGTTTAATTAATGGAGGGTGAACATAATTTTTCTCTGTGTTGCAGAGCCTAAGGCAAACACTACAGAAATAACTACCTTTACAAAAGTCTGACGACTTATAGATTGAGTTTCTAAGAGTCTAAAAACCTGATATCTGATTTATCCTTGATTTCAGGATAGTAAGGGGTTTAGGACAGAATATATAAGCTGGATACGGAGAGATCTTGACTGTAACACCTGTTTCTCCACTTATCAGCAGGTCGCCTTGAAAGAGTTACGTAATACCTCTCCATCTCAGTTTCTCCATTTGTTAGTAGTAGTAAACAACCCTAAGATAAGTAGGAAAATGATATAAAATAATGTAAGTAAAGCATTTAGCCCAGTGCACATAGTAAATTCACAGTAACTATGAACTATTGTTATCTCTCATATATTATCTGATCAGTGACAAGGAAATACACAACAAATTGATCTATTTTTCGTGGTGTGCATGTGTCTCTCTTCTTCTCTTGCTGGCAAAGACTATTTCCTCAGAGCTATGCCTTATCTTAAAAAGTTCTTTGTTCCAAGTTCTACCTGCACCATGTCCTCTAAGTGAAGAAGGGCACAAATGGGCAGTTTCCTTGAGAAGCAACCCCCTTGAAATTATTCCAAGATCAAGTAATTTTGCAATATTTGCAGGATAACATCTAAAAAGCCCTTCCAAATTCAAAATTGTGCATATTTTCTCCTCTTCAGAATTGATTGTATAGATGCATTTTTTATAATTTTAAGGAGGGAGAATTACTGATATATTTCATTCACTGTATGATATTCACTCAAAATGCATTTTGGTAAAATTTAATGCTACAACTAAGAAAAAACCAAACTGGACATAATAGCTGCTTGAAAGTATACTCCTTCCCCACCCCCTCCTCACTCTTTCTCTCTCTCTCTCTCTCTCTCATTAACACTTGAAGGTTTATTTTTAGAAGACTAATGGAGGGGCATCTTTTTAAGACTAATAGACACATTGTGACACCTCAAGAAAGTAATCTGTTCCTTAGGATAAGCCAAGTATGCCCCCTTCACTCCAATCTATTATTCCTTATGTTATTCATACAGTTGACCTTCTGTATCCATGGATGCCACATCTATCAATTCAACCAATAGATTATCA